TACTATCTGTGTTTAAAGCTGGTCGAACGATATTCTAATTATTTATAAAAGTTAATAAAGGATTTATCTATCAAAGGAATTCTTAAAAAAGTCCTAATCCTTGGACACAAAGTCTTTTGATAAAGGATTATATGCCAAACCTTATATCTTTCTCTCAAACTTTCCTTTATTACTAAATTTGATCTCGACAATCATATTATAATATCTGGCAATAATCATATCATAACAATATAATTATATTAAATAACTTAGTAATTTTCTAATAATAATTATATATTTAATTTTTATTATATAAAAAAATTAATAGTATATTGTATATATAGGTTTGCTATATTTTGATTAATTTTTTTAATTTTTTTTATATTAAATTTATATTAAATTTTTTAAATTTAATTTTAAAATTATTTTTTTTTTGATTATATATATATATTTCTTAAAATTTTTAAATTATTTAATATATAAATAATTCTTTAAAGTTTTTTAATTAGGATTGTTTAAAAAAAAATTATAATATAATAATTTTTATATTTTAAATTATTATTTTGTTATTATTAAAACTTATTATTAAATATTGTCTTAATTTTAAAAGTATGTTTAAAAAAAATAATAATATAAATTTTAATATTTATTATATTAGTAAAACAATATAAACTTGATTTTTATATAATCTTTTAAAATATAACAAACAAATTAAAAATCTTTATATCTATTTAATTATATTTTAATAAAACTAAAAGATTATTTTATTTGAAAAAAATATTATTATTTTTTATTAATTTTATTATTATAGTTTTTGTTTAAATAAAAGAATTTTTACAAACATATTGATTAATTGTTTGTCTAATAGAATTTGTTATTTTTATTAATTGTCTATTGCTTTTAATATAATTTACTAATATATATATATATATATTTTTAATAGGATTATATAATATATATTTAATGGTTTATTTATAGTAAAAATCCATTTAAATTGAATATATTACATTAATTTAAAGAACATAAAAAAAACTTTGTGGTTTTTTTTACAACGTACTATATATAACAACTTTTATATTGAGATAATAATGATTTATTCAAAAATAAATAAATTTTTATTAAATATATGTAATTAAATCTAAAAGATCCTCAAACCCGTTAATAATTGTTTAATTGCTTGTAAAATATTCGATTTAATATAATGAATGTATCATATAATTTGTTATATCAATGTATTTTTTCTAAGATTACTAAATATTAAAAAAAAAAACAATTTGATTTAAAAATTATAAATATATACTGTATATATTATTAGAAAATTGTTTTATTTCTTTATAATAATTACAGTATAGAAATGAATAAATTCTTAAATAATAATATATGTTGTACATGTGTAATAAAAAAAAAAACAAAAATTTCGAAGATATTTATATTTAAAATCCATAACAAATTCTTTAATAATTTCAAATGCACATTTATGATATCCTTATAAACATTTATTAACTTTATATATATATTTTAAAGTTGAAATACATTAATGTCATGGTAATATAATAAAATTAACATTTATTATATCTGCAAATTGATTTTTATTTATTTTTAGGTCGAGGATGTTTACATTTCAGAATTCCCAATCAAAATGGTTGCAACAAGTTAATATTATATCTGTAAAAGGATATTGGTTTTATTGAAAGTTATCCTGTAGAAAAGGGATGATGTTCGATTATTTGCATTTTTATATTTTTGAGAAATGAGTCGTCGTGGATAGTTTCTTAACGGATGAAGTTGTTTTTTATATTCTGTAGAATTGATTCGATTGATAATATAAAGCTGTACTTGTCTATTAAAATAAAAAGAGACATATTTTATTTTATCGTGTAAGACTTCGTTAATTGTACATGCTCATTTCATCGGATCGATTCTTTTGGTTATGAATTCTGTTCAACGGGAACCACCGAATAGTCACCATCATGGAACATTAAATTAAATCTATTGGCTTTACACCGCATCCGTTAAAAATTAATTTGAATGCCAGGTTGGACACAAAAGAATACATTCGCACATAATTTATGCGCTCATTGCTAATAGGTGTCGTCGAGTTGCTTCAAATGTCACACTACTCCGACCAAAAATAGGTTTTTCGCTTTTGTTATATACGTATGTCGTTATGACAATTTTTATGGTGAAAGTTACGGATACCACTATTTATCATTCTTTGATGGATCCGGAAGCCTCTCAAACAATATGTTTGAGCGAACATTTAAAGATAATAAAGAAACATCATCTAGAAGAACTATTAGCTTTTCGGTAGTCTAGGAAAGCGAAAATAGGACACCATTAGAACACAAGAACAAATTGATAAATGAAGCCTACCGTATTAGGAAATAATGTAAGCACATTGTTGTGATCGTTAGTAACCTGTCGTCCACGAGAATTAACGTACACAAAACGTACATTGATTTACGCAACAAATTAACGACGTTTTAAATTTGGTAACTGTACAAATTTAAACTGTAAACAAGGTTTTTAATTAGATTGTGCACCATCCAATCAACAACTAAGTGAAGATGTCTCGATTGAAAAATACAAATAAACCCGATTCTAAATTTTTTAGCTTTTCGTTTCTCAACTATCCTTACTCCTTAATTTTCATTCTCTCCTTCCCTTCAACCCTCTTCCCTCCTTTCCCTCAACCCTCTTCCCTTCTTCCCTCTCAACATCTTTCTCTCCTTTGTTACTTTCTTTTACGAGTGTCTTTGGACACAAGGTTATATAGTCACCATCCTTTATCATCTACCTATCTCCGACTCCCATTAAAATCTCTTCATCCGCAACAGAATCTTTAGAGTGCAATATAAAATAAAATTCACTTTGTAATTACAAAAATATGTTGAAATTCAAGGTAATTATTTTTGTCACGTGATTATTTTTTGAGATTTCACTAAAGGCAAGAACCACACGTTACCACAGATATTATTTATCGTCGCGTCCATAATCACTTTGTCCCGCTATGTCAACGCAATTTGCAAGTATGCGGGTCAAATGTGCCCCGAGGAGGCACCGTGCTGCAATGGCGGCTGGTGTTCAAATAATCCAAGGTTTTGTTCTACAGGTAAGTTTCTGCCTTCACATTCTAGTCAATATCAAATTAAGGTGAAAAATTTTTTTTCCCCAAACTCACTTGTCTTTTACATGTAAAAAGGCTGTGAACCAGAAAATTCGTTCTCCGTGAATTCATGTTACCCTAAGCCGGGGTGCAAAAGTTTTTATGATGATTTTTCAAAATCTTCGATCGTCAGCTATTCGAAGTACAATGGCGACCCAAACACCGCCAAATGGACTTCAGATTTCTTGCCTGATTATGCGTCTGTCGACGATTCAGGCCTAGTAAATCTGAAAATGTATCAGGATAAGACGCATAAGAATAGCTTTGGGAATTATCAGGGATTCGGTGCAACAATTAGTACTACCAGATGGATGCAATTTGGACGAGTTACCGCTCGAATAAAGACAGCATGTATCTCTAAAGGCGTGGTATCATCCATGGTGGTTTCTAATAATGTCAGTATTGTTGGTATTGTAATATATGTGGGAGGAGAGAATTTCTTAATAACGATTCGAGCTAAAGTTTCGTGAAATGTTTCATCTTGTGTAGACGATGGACACCCTCGGAGACGAGATTGACTTCGAATGGGTTGGACTAAATAAAACCGAAGTGCAATCAAACTACTATTGGAATGGTACATTGGACTACACAAAAGGTGCTCATCACTACGTATGCCCTGATACCACTGCTGATTTTCACACCTACTTTGTCGACTGGCAACCCGATGCTCTCAGGTAGTTTGAGGTTTATTAATAAAAAAAAAAAAAATTTTTTTTCGATTTTCAACGACACTCACACTTCACTTTTCTTACTTATTTACAGCTGGGGTGTAGATGGAAAAGTATTACGTACGGTGACCAAGAAATCTACTTTTAGTTCCACCGATAATGTCTATAAGTATCCTTCTCAGCCATCCCGCGTAGCCTTTTCCATATGGGATGGTGGTATGGGAGCTCCGGGCACGGGAAACTGGTCGGGCTTTCCTACTGATTGGTCAGATCCTAACAAAGTGTATACCATGTATGTGGATTGGGTCAATGTTACTTGTTACAGTGAGTATTATATATATATATATATTTGACTTTCAAAATTTTTTCGTTACTGAAGCTTTTCTAATTCAACGCAGATGAAACAAATGACGATGGATCGTGGCCACCAGCTGGTTATGGTTTGACTGATAAAGCCAAATCATCTTCCACCACCGAAAAAACCTCATACACTACCATGGGTGTTAATCAGCCTGTAGAATCCACAGCCGGAGATGGTAATAATAGTACCACATCGGCGGATACGCATACCGAATCAGGCAGTGTGGTTAAAAAGTACGGTATACCAGCCTTGGCAGTGGTCGGTGGGATAGCGGGAACGGCATTTATATTCGGTACATTTAAGCATTTCACAAAGGGTAAAGAGTATTAATTTGCATCTTGGTGGGAGAACGTGATGTAGTAAAAATGAACGATGATTGTAAAAATAGAAAAATAGAAATATTTAAAAGGAATCCCTTTTTAGTGAACGAACCTCTCTTGGTAACTTTGATGTCATAATAATTGAACTTCAATATTTAACCATTAATTATTGACTACCAAATAAAAATCTAATTGAAAAAAAAACCAAATACGGTTCACCATTGAATATTCTTTGTAAAGTATAAATAAATCGCGTTTTCGTAGGTTTGAGCAAGATCAAGATAAACATGTATTCTGTAGCAGACGTAGAAAAGTTGTTTGGAAATCAAGAAAGGATACATGAAAAGAAAAAGATCTATTGCACGCGAGTCAGCTCAGATAAGCAGAAAAATCACCTCAAACAGAAATGCACAGATCTCGGCTGGAAACGCAAGGGCTTCACATCCATTTTGGAACGATCATATCGAGGAGGTTTTGGTTACCAGGAAGTATCGACTCTGCAAATTTACGTGCGAGATTGTCAAATATATTCTTGAAAAAAACAGTGCAAAGATCGTGATATTCGGTTCGGACGTCAGAGTTAATGAGACAGAATCCGTTGAGTTTGTTACTATCTTACGACAAGGCACGACAGACTCAGATCAGCCCCGAAAACGACGAAGAGAGATTAAAAGCACAAAAGATACGGTTTTACCCAACGCCCGAAGAAAGAGAAAAGTTAAGAAAGTGGATGGGAGTTGTGAGACGGACGTACAACAAAGTTCTTGAGATGGTCCAGGACGATGGAATCACCAACATGAACATCATACGAAGAAGGATCGAACACAAACTATCTTGATTCTTGCTCGGGATTGGAATAAGAACAGAGGGAAAAATGCATTCCTAAAGAATATCATTCATTACCTTCGAGAGATCACCAGATATCAACAACATAGTTAATATAACTATGAATCTCGATCCAGGTGTTCGCACGCTTATGACTGATTACGATCCCGGCGGTCATATAATGGTGATTTTAGCAAAATATTCAGATTATCCAAGAAATATGACAAATCCCAAAGCGACAAAGATCTTGCTTTTGGAGAACAAACAAGAAAAAGTAATATCGATTGAGAAAAAAGATACAATGAATTATACAACGAACCTGTAATTTAATCGATGAGTGCCATCATCAGCTGGCCCATTGGTTATGTCGAAATTACAAAATCATTCTTTTACCCTCAAGTTCGAATATTCGAAGATGGTTTTAAAGAACAAGCGAAAGATTCGGTCAATGACTACTCGTGCATGCCGACTTGGTAACATTTCAGGAATTTCTTACTCAAATATTTAACGAAAGGTCAGGTTTGGGATACGATTTGCATAATAAAGATTAACTTTAATTTCAAGGGCATCATATAAAGCTCAATAATTTATTGATTTTGAAATAAAGTTTAGTTCATTATTTTTTTTTATAAAAAAAAAAAAAAGTAATAGAATATGAAAAAAAAAAATGTCAACCTATTTTCCGATGTTGGAATATCTAAGAATTTCCGTCACATTGAAATCCTTGGTAATTTTTAGCCAACATCCCACCCACGTTATTTCTGCATGCCACTTTATTGAACTCATACGATTTTTAATATGGTTCTCTATTTGCCTTCTAAATAAATCCATAATATTATAACCAACAAATAGATAAGGCCGTAACAATTTATCGACCGATGTGTCAAGGCAAATCTTTTGCTCATAACGGTTATAATCATAAGAACTTATTCCATAAATTCTCAAACTGGATGACCTTATATTAAAAAATGACAAATTGAGCACTGATTGAAAATTTTGTCTGGTGATGATTATTGCTTGACTCAACGCTTCCACAAAATCATCCAACTTCATGGCCAATATTTTATTATCATCAAGGTTGTTTGGAACAAGTACTACAGACAAAGGAATTTGAAAATAGTCCAATTCTTTAAATAGTTCTTTCTTTGTCACTTGAGTGCAAGCACATAATTGTGTTGGTTCATCATTTGGCCAGACGATTTCGCCTGTACGATAATATTCCAAGATATAATGGAATGCTCGCCCATTTCGGTCAAAGAAGTATTCATTTCCGTTGGTAGGATGAAGGAGTGCATTATTCCTTTCATGAAACATAGTACCTAACAACGTTTGCGGGTAGGCTCTCAATGTTGAACAAAGTGTTTCATACTAGTAAAAGAATAATGTATAGAAAGGTAAGATTAGACAATGATATTGCGAAAGAATGGAAAAGTATACCCTAAATCCGCCAACATTCAGAATAATTCGTTTATCATGTTTATCGAGCTCTATTGACATTTGCAATTATTAAGATACTAGGTAATTTTCTTGTGATTGGAAAGATAGAAGGACGACTTTTAAAGGATAATTTTTTACATTGTTTTTTAACTCAAGCAGACAATAAAAGGTTAAATGAAATTATATTAAAAAACTTTTTTCTTTTTTGAAAAGCATTAAATGTGCGGCTTTATTAAACTTTTGTTCACTGCCATTACATTAATGATCTTTTACATACAGTAAGTTATATTAAAAAATCTTTCTATTGAATTATTTTTTACTACCAAAACTAATAATCGATCCAGATAATTTTTTGTTAAAACATTATTGATAATATTGATATTGATATTACATTATATTATATATGTACAGTATATACAAGGTATTGCAAAAAATCTTATAGATTTCAAAAAATACATGAATAAGTTTGTTTAAAAAAATTCAAAGGATATTTTCTTATTATCGAATAAATAAAAAATAAATTTTAATAATTCTGTTTTGATTTTTATTATTAAAAAAATCAAATATTTATTATAATTAATTAATTAACTTTTTATTAATATTATTTTATATTCTTAATTAAAAGTTTAAAGTTAATTAAACCAATCAATTGTATTTAAAATAAGCAAATATTTGTTAATAGTATTTTTTTAAACAAATATTAATAAACTTATTAAATTAAGATATATAATTTTATTTCAATATTTCAATATAATATTAACTAATTGTGACAATTCTAATATTAAATATTAAGTTTTTAAAAAATAAAACTTTACTTTTATTAACAATATAATAACAAAAATTTGATTATTAACTATTTCAAAAATAATATAATTCTTAACAATATAAAAATTTATTTTAATAATAATCTGTCTTATTATAAGTACATTTTAAACATTTTTAATTAATAATAAAATAATAATTAATTAATTTATCTAGTTACAAGTTAACATAAATTAAAATTTAATTTGAAAATACACTTTAAGATAATAGTTTAAAAAATATAGATTGCCAATAATCTTTTAAATTAAAATATAAAATATTTTATATATTATTTTTTTATGATAATATTTAGAAAATGAAAAGAATTAAAAATATTTTAAATAATTAATATTATATAAAAATTTAATAATTTAATAAATCTATTTTTTTATAATACAAAACACAATAGATAATTTTAAATAAATAATTTTTTTAAATATTCTTTAATATGCACTTGTAATTAATCTCAAGAAAGGATGCATTTAGAAAGATTTTTTATATAAAGTTAATTAATAATAAATTATATTTTATAATAAAGTCATGAAAACGATTATCAATAAAACTTTAATAATTTTCTTATCAAAATTTATTTATCAAATTAAATGATTATTTACTAAATCATAATGATAATAAAAGAATTATTAATTGTTGATAATTCTATCTTTTTTAGCCACGGGAAGTGAAAATTTCTAATTTGATGGTATATATATGGGTAATTATTTTTGAAAGTGAACCAAAATCAAAGGTATATATCTATTACCCTAAAATTATAACCCTAAATTTCAGATCAAGTGATATTGATAGC